GTTCAAGAAACTAAAAGCTAGATAATAATAAATCCAAGAAAAATTAATTGATAATAACAAAAGCAAAGATCTATGAATTAAGAATTAGTAAAAAAAACTAATAACAATGCACCGAGATGGATGTTAGTCAAAAAATAGTTATATGGTGTCAGACTTAACCACAATACTCAATTTAAAATTTTGAAAAATACCATAGTAAAGTTTGTAAACATCTCAATGAAAGGAAAACAAGACTTTTTGGAGTAGTAATAGAGTGAAAAAAAAATAAACAATAATCAAATAGAGATTATTCCAAAATGCTAAGAAAGTCTAATATTTGGAAATATAATTCACCCAATCAACAGTTCAAACAAACAAAAAATCTCTAATATCATTCAATATCTTACATATTCTTCCTACCTATTGGAATAGATTCTGTTCTCTCTCTCGCTCTCTCTCTTTTTTTTTAATCAACATATTATTATGAAAATTTTCAGTCTTACAAAATGATGAAAAAAAATTCAATGCACACCCACATATTGACCACCAAGTTTCCACCATAAACACTTTTTACTCTATTTGCTTTATCATGAACTCTATCCATCTCTCTATCTACTCAATAAACCATGTATTTTTTTTATGCATTTCAAAGTAAACTTCAGACATCAGTACACTTTCCAAAAATACTTCAGCATGCATGGTAGTAGCAAGAGGGCAGTAATTCAAATAACTTGTGTGTGTGTGTGTGTGTGTGTGCACGCGTGCTTTAGGCGCAAATTTACAGAGCCGAGTTTGTTTTACATTCAACATTTCATGTACATTTAGTTTCACTCCCCAATTACTATCCCCAGCTCTAACTCACTCTTCTCCCTTCCCTTCCGAATACCCCTCCCCTTGTACCCCTCATAGTTATCCACTCCTGTATGTCCTGCATTTCCTCCTTGTGAATGCTGTCCCTCTGGTGCCCCATGGTTGATTGCTCCAAGGGATGCATCTCCATAGAGTATGTGGGGATGTCACCTTGGGTTGAGTGGTCTGTGTGTATGTCTTGTTTACTATTGGGCTGAGAGCCAGCCCCTGGGAATGAGTTTTATTCCAGTCTCGAAATATATCCCAGGGCCATAGTATTGAGGGTCCCACCAGACTCCATCTGACCAGTAATTCTGGTCATTATTGTGATTTTGGATCTTGTTCCTTGTTTTTCCTCCCACTGTATCCAGGATCTCCAGTTTTGATCCCTCGCTGAGTGGTTGGCATTGGTAGCTGGGCACCATCTAGTTCTTCTCGTCCCAAGGACATCATGTCCTGGGGCTGATTGCTTCCAAATGTCCTTGGTGTTTTGCACTCTTCTTTGCTTCTGACAATAGGAGACCATTAGCTGCATCTTAGATGGCCCCTCAAAAGCTTTTAAGATACCAGTTACTACTCACCAAGGTAGGTTGTGGAACAAGGCTTTTACATATTTGTTGTGCCAATTGAGTCTGGTGTCCCCCATTAGTATGGTCCTGAGATGGTAGATCTATTGAATCTCTTTCCCACAGTGTCTGGCTGTCTGTGAGGGATTGCTCTATGTCTGTCTTCTGTTGTTTCTGTAAGGATTGTGGGTATTTTGTATTACTAGTATCTGTGCAAGATTAGCCTCAGCTGAATCTATCCTTGGTCTAGAGTATAATCCTGTTCACTGACCCTCATCTGATATTCTCAGATGTTTATGTGTTTATCTGTAGCCTTGTGTTTGGTGTTAATGGTAATGCAGTATTGTGGATATACTGGTATTAGCCTCTGTCATCTATATCTTATGTGCACAATTTGGTGTCCTCCCATTCTCCAATGTTATCATGCTGGTCACAGACTCCATACCATCCCTCCCTTTACTCACCTCAGTGTGTGGCCCCCAACTAGCCAGAAATTATTCCCTCCCTTTCCCTCTCCACCCCAGTAACCTACAAAATGAATTCCCTTCCTTAAGCAAGCCATTCTTTGTCTTTTTACAGTAATGGGCTCATACAATATTTGTCCTTCTGCGACTGACTTACTACACTCAGCATAATGTCCTCCAGGCTCATCCACATTGTGAGATGATTTGCATATCCTTTATTGTTCTTCAGTGTAGCATAGTATCCCATTGTAAGAATGTACCGTACTTTGGTTATCCATTCGTCAATTGATGGGCATTTAGGTTGTTTCCATCTCTTTGCTATAGTAAACTGTGCTGTGATGAACATAAGTGTGCATGTGTTTGTCTGTGTCCTGCCTCTCA